AACTCTATGAACATTTTCCGCCATGCCTGGTTAAAAAATGTTTTCGGCGACTCGTTAAACCTGTTACGGGAACAGGGCAAAGCGATGTACATCGGTGAATGGCTATGTCACGTCTAATGCAACAGAAAATTGTAATTTCTGAAGCAGTAATTTGCACAAAACGCCCACTTTTTCTATCTCCACTGGTATAGCTGAATTTTCCACCTTCAAAATGTCCTAACCGCCAAAAGCTCATTCTACATAGAAGACCGTGAACACATCAAAACCACCACAGAACCATAGCACGCTATTACCATGTTATGTTACCACCGTTTTAAATCAAAAAAACTTTTCCTCAAAAAATTCTTTTGAAATGCGATAATTACTAAAATAGCATATGTATTGTTTAAAGATAGAGAATAGACAACGATAGGTAGAATCATTTGTTGAAAAAAGAATTTAGCTTTTCTAAAGACTTCATTTTAGCAATAAAATGGAATCGAAATGCTCGAGATTGATGCAAATACAAATAAATTTGCCTACCAAGCTGTAGATAAAACCAAGCATTCCAAGCATAACTTTATAATGTAATCGCCAGTAAATGTTATACTTTACTGGAAAAGTTACAGCAATGAAGCACTCGATGGCAATTGCCAGCTTTGTCCAAGCAGTTAACTGACCTAAACTACCTCTGTTTTTAATGTTCTATAATAGTCTCTTGACTGAAAATCCACTGTATACATCAAACCTGCTATAATCTGCAGTAACGGCCAAGGCTTTGTTTTTAAGCACTGCGCAGCAGTTATTTTTTCAAAATACTGATTTTTGTATAAGAGTAGCTCAACACCGGTACCGTGCAAAACATATCCAGAACCAATTAACTGAAACATGCAGAAAAATTAATATTACAAAATTAATAAAACCTTTTGCCTTCTTTATTATTCGACAGAGTTTTTATAAAAAGTACAGAATAAAAAATTTTAAAATATTTACAACTTTTATAAAGTTGAATATTTTGGTTACGCTCTTTACAACCTTGTCAAGTTTTTTATGTTGAACTTTTCTAGCTTAAAAAATCAAAAGGAAAAATTAAGAAAAAAAATTTCAACTAAGAAATACTTATAGAACTCAATTATTTTTGTTTATTTAACACGGCTGTGGTCTACCAGCTAACTTCAAAATTCGTTGCAAAAAATTATTTTAATTGCAGAATTGTGTTGTAAAAGGTGAGCTTTAAGAGCTGAAGATATTGCTGAAATTTTTACCAGCTCTCCCACACTCATAAAACTATATAAGCACATTCTGCTGCGAAGATCTCGACTGGTGTTAATCACAACTAAAACTACACTGTTAGCGATAATAACAGTGATCCCGACAAGGTTGAACAAACGACAAGCGATTAGTAAATAATTAGGGTTTGCGTCGAGACTATCCATAGTTGCGTCTTCAGTTTTCTAAATAAATGTCTCCTCAATATTTTGTAATTCAGTTGCATTTAGGAAAAAACCTCATCAGTTACCAGTATAAGGTACACTGTATTTCAAAAACAACTTTGCACAACTGAGCAAGCGCCCTAAAAATATTAGAAAAGAAAAGATATCAAAATGATGAGTGTTTTTAGAAATGTTGTCGAATTTGGTAATAAACAACTCTAAATTTTTCAGACGATTGACTTCTAAAAATTAAGACCAATTTTGCTCGAGTAAACAAATTTAAACAGAAAGCTGATAAATAATTTTCTTCAATGCTTTCTATAACTATTTAACAGTGTTAATATGTCCTTTTACATATTAAGAACTGTTTACACATTTCAACAACTTTTTGTGAACAAATAAAACACAAGCATAAGCAATACATTAGAGGCAAAAAAGTCTTTTCAAAGCGAAAAAATTTGCTTTAGTACAGCTCAAAGACAGAACAATAAACAGTTGTTCTTTTTTAGTAGAAGAGGACTTTCAGATTACCAGAGAAACCCTGGTAACTCAAAATTTGCTAACCAGCATGAGATGCATAATGACACAGACGTTGAAAGAAAAAGATTCAGACGTGAATGGCGAAAAAAAGTAGTTATTTGAAGTCTGTGAAGTTCATTGTGATTTAAAACTGAAGATTGAATATGCCACCTCAAGTTCATTTTTTTAGATTGCTGGCTACATTTTGCTGTGACGCAGATATGTTTCAGAACCACTACAGTTTAATTAGCTAAAGACGGCAACATCTGGTTCACAGGTGTACAGCAACAATTAACTAGTGTACTAAATATGATAATTCATAGACCGGGTAATTAAGCCTAGAAAAAAAGACATTTTTTAAACTAACGATAGCACCTGATCACAGCTGTCCGATTTAGCTGACATAAAGTGTATTTGCATTCTTCTTGCTTTTCAATAAAAAAAGTCTATTGCTTTTTACTTTGAAAACCAAACCTTGTCGTTTTTGCGTGGGAACATGCATAAAAAAACATTATTACAGACAAACTAGAGAAATGTTTAATAATTGTTATTCTTTATTTTAATAATTTGCTTTTTCAAAAACAGATATAACTTTTTAAATTTTTACAAGACTGAAACATCTGTTATGAGCAGCTTTATGAGTTTTTGTTCTTAAACAAATGATTATAAACAAGTAAACTTGTTGTCATTATGTTTATCATCAAAAAAATTAGGCACTATGCTTTTAAAACGTGAGTGGGAAAAAATTCTGCTTTAAAAATTAGTAGTTCAAAATTTCAATATTTTCTGAAGCTTGACGATTCTATCGCTTGAAAGAGGATTTAAAGAAAAGCACTTTTTTAATGACGGAAAGCACAAATGATCTATTCTTTTATGAGGTAGTTCCTGCAAAGTTCAACTTCCGCATCGATGGCAATACTGAAGCGGATGCTGACGTCACTCGAATCACGTAACCTACATGCAGATTCAATTGTGACACACAGCTAAAACACAGCCCCAGAAATCTGTATGCGTATTTCACTGTTTATCGACGAAAGCATTATCGTTTCAGGTGCAAATTCGTGTTGTGTGCATTTCAATGCATCTATTAATTCATGAAAAGTCGTTGAGAATACATAGAACCGATTGTGGGTGACTAGATAAAATAAGCTAAAAAAAAAAAAAAAAAAAAAAAAAAAAAAA